TGGACATGCAGCCCCGAGGCCTCCTGGCCATGCATGCACCACTTTTCTCTACCCACTGAGGTGACTGGGTCCAGTCCTGGGGCCACACTGGGGCTAGGATCCCTGCTGCCATCCATGGTGCCTCTGGACAGCATCCTCTGGGGACAGCCCCAATGCAGTGGCTGCATCTCTAGCCCAGGCCTTGGCCGGCTCCTGGAGATCCTTTCGGGTCTCTCTTTCTTTCCTGCTAATCTCAGTTCTCCTTCAGCTCTGCCCAGGGCCGGAAAAGGTGTTTCTTCTTTCCCCTTTTCTCCTTGTCACCCTATCCTAAGCCTGCCTCTGTCCCAGCTGACTGGCCCCAGGCGGATGTGAAACACCTGAGAGCCGGACGGGGCTGTGCACACCCATTATATTGCCTAGGGTTGGAGAAGGGGAAGGCTGGCATGGGGAACTGCTGTGCCCTGCGAAGCCTGGAGCCCGAAAGCTGCTTTAGAAATAGCCGCCTGCCCAGCCCGGCTTTGCTGGAGACTGTCGGCTTTCTCTGCCTAAGGGAAGGGCGGGTGGACCGAGGCTCTCACAAAGAGCTGCCTTCTCCCAAGGGCTTCAGGCGCCTGAGTTATGTGGAACCAGTTGAAACAGCAAACAAAAAGCCTCAAGAGTTTTAAGTGACACTCCTCAACCCTCTCACCATGTACCCATGTCTCTGCCATCAGCCCCCAGTCTCAGAGATGCCCATCCAGGATGCCTGGTGTGTGCATCCCCTGCCATCAGGATGCCCAGGGCTGCAGAATAGGCAGGGGAAAGTGATAGGAAAGAGCCCCTTTCCAGTAGAAAGACGGCAGGAAACCCCACCTCTCCCCTGTGGCTTGCTGGTGCTTGAGGGCCAGATGGGAAGAGGTCTCTGTGGGTGGCAGGACGCTGGGCTGACCCTCCGCACATCATCACGTGCTGATGGAGCAGATGTGTCATTTTGCCGAGCACGCCTGGGCCTCAAACATGTTTCCACCACTCATTTCTGGTGAGCTTCAGGCGCCTCCCTCACTCACGCCCAGGCCTGGGGAAGGACAGCTGCTGTGTGAGCATCTCTCTCCGGGGCAAACATGACTTTTGGTCCAGGCTGCGTTCCCAAGGTTGCGGGAACTACCCCAAACCCCCTAGGACCTCTGAGCCACCCATGAGCTTGGGGGAGCCCCCGTCTGCATCTGAAACGCTGCCATCGTGCAGTGCCCGTGAGATGCTGTGGATCCGGATTCCTGCAGTGCCCCTCACCGTGGCATTTGGGCATGTCATGATGCCTGAGGGCAGTGCTGAGCAGGCTAAGGGGCTTGGCCAAGGCCACCCAGGGAGCACGTGGCAGAGCAAGAGAGGGAATCCATAGCTCCTGAGTCCCAGACTTGCACCCCGATGGGGCCGAGCTTCACCTGAGTCCGCGCCAGCTGTTGCAGACTCAGCCACCTCTGTCCGAGGCTGGGTGCCTGGTGGGGGGGGGCACAACATGGCAGGACAGATGCACCCCCACCTAGCTCAGCTCTTCCCCCTGACACCAGGCCCGGGCTTGGCCCACAGCTGCAGGGAGCTGGGTCCCGATGCTGGGACCTGGGGCTGTTCTTGCTGGGCTCGGGCTGCAGGGGCAGGACAAGGCTGAGGCAACCCTGCCTGCCCGGGGCTCGCCAGCTGCTGCGTCAGCGCGCTCGTTCTCAAGGAATCGGATGGTTTCTGTTTTCCTTCCCCCGGTGCCACCTCCCCTTCTCCTTCCTCCTCTTCTTCTCTTCTTTACTTTCCTGGGTCCTTCCCGCCTGCCCTCTGGGCAATGGCAGGGCAATGGCCCAGTGGTGAGCATGCCAGCACGGTCCCCAGGGATGCACCTGAGTAGGCAGTGTCGGAGCCAGGCTGAGTCTCTAGCAGTGCTGATGCCTCATGCTGCCTTTCCCCCCTCCGGCCCCGAGCGAGCGTGGCTTTGTCTCTCTCTGGGGCCTGCTCCCGCGAGCCACGGCTTCCTCTCTGCCTCTGCTAACGTGGCGCCAGCCGTCACAAGCCCGCAGCTCGGCCCCAGAAGCCACCTCTTCCTGGGCTCAGACGTGGACTTCGGGAAGCCGACGCACTAGCAGCCGTGATGTGGTGTCGCACGGGGGTTTGCATGGCCCCAGTGGTTTCCACACACTGCTCTCCCCACCCCCGCCCGGCCAGCTCCTTCCCCCCTGCACCCCACCACGAGGAGGAGAGAGACCTGGGGCATGGGGCTGGGCAGGAAGCCCACTATAGGGTGCTGGCCCCCAAGCAGGGTACCCAGGCAGGGCAAGGGCATCATGCCCAAGCTTGGTCTCAAAGGCTCCCAGCATCCTGCAGCCCAGGAGGCAGCATGGTCCAGTGGGTAGAGCACTTGTCTGGGGGCAATGAGACTTGGGGTATGCTCGGGGCTCAGGGGCTGCTTTGCCTTACGCTGTCTGGAGCTGGTCCGTCCTGGCCAGAGCTCCCTGCACCCTATTATGGAGGCACCAAAAGCATGTGGGCAGGGTATTATGGTAGCCCAGCCAGCGGGGTGTCCTCTGGGTGCAGGGTGGGTGCTGGCTGCCACCCCCCCGCCTGGGGCAGGGTGGCTTGGGGTCTCGTTTTGGCGATGGCTGTAAAGGAACCAGCCCAGAGAGGGGAGCGGCTGCCGGGGCCAGCAGATTCCCCCCTTGCCCCAGAGCCTGGATGCACCTTGTGCAGAGTTCAAGATGGGGAGAGCAAATCCCCCTCCGCCCACTCCCACTGTACTCCAGCCCCCGGACCAGAGCCAGGAGCGGGCACTCGGCATGGGGGCAGCTGCAGCCGGCTTATGTGCTTCGGGCTCAGTGAAAGGCTCCTGATGCCCCTTCTCATGGCTGCTGTAGCAGACTCCCAGCTTCCCTCCACCCCTGGCTTCCCAGGAGCTCCTTATGTCCTGGCCCTTTGCAGATACCCTCGAGCAGCCAGCCCGGAGGCTGTGGTGAACCCCCTCCCTTCATGGAGAGGCTGGTGATTTGGGATCCCACCGTGGGCCTTTGATTCTTGCTCCATCCAAACTTTAAAACTGGCAGTGTCAGCAGCGTTTCTATCCAGGCAGCACATTGCCGTCTCGCTGATTCCTGCTAATCTCTCTCCGCTCCACAGGTGTTAACTACCATCTCTCATCCTTTTTAATGGCCTTGATGTGCCACCATTCAAACTTTCTTTCCTTCTGAAGTGTTGCTCTCCTTTTGCCATTCCTGGTCACTTGTACAGGCCACAACCTCAGTTTCCCCTATTGCAGGATGAAGCTGTTCCTGCTCCCTGCCGCCACAGAGAAAAGCCCGTCTCCATCCTCTGTGCCATCGCCCTTCAGGGATTTGAAGACTGTGATCAAATCCCTCCCCGCTCTTCTCTTCTCCAGACCCAATTACCCAAGTGCTTTCAGCCTTTCCTCCTCAAGCTTGTCTCCCAGGGCCCTGATCATTGTTGTTGCTTTGTACTGGGCTCTTTCCAACCTGCCCACCTCCTCCTTTAAGCTCAGGGCCCAAAACCAGACGCAGGACTCCGGGGGAGGCCTCCCGGGTACCGAACAGAGCAGAAGAATCGCTGCCTTGATTTGCCAGTGACAGGTGACAAGGGTTTTCATGGCAGCCGCCCAAATCTGAGCCCATGAGTACAAAGATCTTGGCAGCCAGGTCCTGCAATGGCTCCAGTTGCACCAAGCATGCTCCAGCTGCAGGGGTAGGACTGGGGCAGCGACATCTTTACACATCCTGCTTCTTTGAGGCTGCGAGAGCTTTGCCTTGCACCCGGGCACAGGGGGTGGAAGGAGGGAACAGCTGGGCTGGGGTAGGAGGGTGAATGGGGAGAGGTGGAGGGCCCGGGAATAGGGGCCTTTGTGTCTCCTCGGGGCCAGGTTTCTAGACGGCTGAGAACCCGTGGCTCTGCTCTCTGCTCCTTCCTGGCAGAGAAGGGGATCAAGTCATGCAGGGTTTTAAGGCCGGATGTCTCCATCCAGGCCCTCGATATGGGTGAGCTGTTGTCCAGGGGTGCTGGGCACCCGCATCCTATTGCATCACATTTTGGAGAGACTGGCCCTTGCTGCAGCACCGAGATTCATAGATTCATAGATGTTAGGGTCGCAAGGGACCTCAATAGATCATCGAGTCCGACCCCCTGCATAGGCAGGAAAGAGGGCTGGGGCTAGATGACCCCAGCTAGATGCCAAGAGAAAAGTCAAATGGATGCTTCCCTCCCACTGGAGCTCCAGCAAGTGACTGGGGACATGGGAAAGTCTCACTGGGACCCTGCTGATGAGGTCAGGCCTCCACTTGTCCCCATTGCCAAAGCCATGTTGGGCTGCAATTCCTATATGGATGACGGCAGCACCCTGCTTTTGCAGCCTCCGAGATAGATGTAGACACCTGCCGGAGGATGGAAACGCAAGCTTCGGTGGCTTCTCCTGTGTCCTGCCATCAGGGACAGGACCCATGGGTCCTGATGCAGCCCCTGCCTCTGTGTGTGCACCAAACAGGTCACCGAAAGGCACGGCGAGGGTCCCTTTGATCCTGTGCCATGGTGGGCTGGCCAGGCCATGCAGGGCGCTCTGTAGTTTCACAGTTTGTAGGGTCAGAAGGGACCTGAGCAGATCTTCAAGTCCAACCCCCCGCTGTGGCAGGAAAGAGGACTGGGGTCAAACGACTGCAGGGTTTCTTCTGCTGGGCTTATGCCAGGGGAGGGGGACTTGCCTGTCCCAGTAAAGGACTGTGGGAGGTAAAACCAAGGCAGGACCAGCTGGTGACAGCAAGACACAGTGGAAGAGGCAGGGGTCGAGCCCTGGTCCTGGCAGCTCATTCCCATCCGTGCCGTGGCATGTGCATGGAGCCTGATGCTCAGATTCAGGGTCCTGCCCTCCGGGGGCAAGCCTGCACTCCTTTCTTTTCACTCTGGCGGTCTGGGTAGACACAGCTCCCGGCCCTGGGTTTTTAAGGGAGGGAAAGGAGGGGATGCATGGGGCCAGTGTGACATGGGCTTGGTTTTTCTCCATGCAGCTTTCTGGCAACAGAAGAGCCAGCACCCCCCGAGACGGTGCCCAGTGCCCCACCTGCCCTGCTGCCCCGGGTGAAACCACCGCAGCTGCCACCCGAGCTGCCTGCCAAGCCGCCCTTGCTCTTTCTGCCCGAGTTCGGTGAGTGTGCGTGCACCTGGCTTTACCCTGCCCCAGGTAACGGGGTTCTCTAACATGACCCTCCAAGGCCTCTCCCCCCTTTGCAGAGGTGCTGCAGTCACATCTGGGCGATAGGCTGGGGGTTTTCCCTGCGCGGCAGAGAGGATGACTGTGGTGTGGGACATGGCAGTGGCTCTTGCTCTCTGCAGTGAGGGCCTGGGCACTCCTGCCCCATGCGGTGATGTAGCACATCTGCCCCACGCGGTGATGTAGCACATCTACCCCACACGGTGATGTAGCACATCTGCATGCAGCAGCATCCTTTCCTTAGCAGAGCATCCCGGGGAGGGTCTCAGCCAAGACATTGCCCAGGCCAGGGCATGGGAACCAGTGCCAAGAGGGGGCTGTATTATTCACGGACAGGTTGGAAGCCAGGACGCCTGGGGTCTGGTCATAGTGAGGCCACTGCCTGGCTTTCTGCACTTCCTTCTCTGAGGCCCCTCATTTAAATGCAGCTGAAGGGGCCTCATTAATGAACCTTCTCCTAGAAGCCCAAAGAGGACATGGAGAAGCAAATGGGTCTAGTTCCTCCCAAAAGGCAGCTATCAAACAAGCTCCTTCCCCCTTCCCACCAGTGTCCAGCCAGCCCTTTGTGCACGGAGGGAAGGAGAGCGCTCCCCATCCGCAGCACCTTTCCTCCCAGCCCGCTCCTCTCCTCCCTCCGTGTCTCTCACCTGGTGCTGAAATGCAGCCACCTCTGGGGTGGGAGGCGCTAAGCTGTCTGGTGGCTTACAGAAGGCAGCGCCAAACTGGCTGCAGGATGTGTTGGGGTGGCAGGTGGCCGGGGCCTTGATCTTGCCTTGGGGATGGCTTGGTCAGGACAGATCAGGGGGCTAGCTAGGGGTAGATTGGGGTCAGTACCCCAAGATAGTGCCTGAAGGGGCAGCTCTGATACGGAGAGTGGTTCCCCTTGGCTGGATGTGCCTTGGGCTTCGTGTCCAGGAGCCAGTGAACATCCTGCTTTGTTCTCTCTGGACTCTCCTCTCCCTAGGGTTTCTGAATGCAGCCTTTGAAGAAGGAGCTTGCAGGGGGTTGGAGACACCTGATCCTTCTCCCTCTCTTATCAAGCATCAGCTCAGGCCCTGAACAAAGGAGAAACTCCCTTAAACTTTTCTGTAAACTCAGGAGAACAATGGCCTTCCTCTTTGCCTCTCCCTGCCAGTCCCTCCCAGCCCGGCAGAGCCTGATTTTAATGCTAATGGGGCTGGAGAGTGGAAAAGGCACCCAGGAAGGGCAGGCCAGGGCAGCATTAGCATTCAGTGGTGCTCAGCTAGGCTGGGAGATCGGTGCCAAGACCCCAGGGTGAAGCTGGCAGCTGGCACCAAGGTCAGGGGAAGCTGGGAGAAGGCTCAGCCCCTCCCAAGCATTGCGGAGCCACCTCTAAGGGAGGGGACACGGGCAGGGTCATACAGAGAGCAAGTGGCAGAGCCACGTCCCACGAGGTGTGTGCCCAGCTCGGGTCTTCCCGAGCCAGCGGCATTCATCATGCTCCCTTTGCCTCTCCTTGCAGACGACTCGGACTATGAGGAGCCATGGGAGGATGAAGTAGTGGCTCCGGTCGGAGACATGGCTGACAAGGTGAGTCTGCCCTTCTGACTCGGGCTGGGGGTTTGGGCCGGCTTGCGGTCCTTTCCTGCTTCAGTTCCTTCCAGGAAGGGAGAGAGATCAGCCCCTGGGCTGGGTAGGGGTTGTAGGGGGTGATCCCACTGCAAGCATCTCCTGTGCAGTGAAGCTTTCCTTGGAGACATCCTTGAGGTCCCGGCCTCCGGTCCCTGCTGGAATACCCTCTGTTTCTATCTCTCTCTGGTCCTGGGGTGAAAGCACAAACAGGGGTTTCCCTTTCAGTCCAAATCTGGCTGGAAAAAGCCCTAGGGAGCCCTCATGGGACAGGAGTGGAGCTCTCTGGGCAGCCTTAGTGGTGCCATCGCCTTTCCAAAGAACGGGTGGCAGGGGCAGGTTTTCCCCACAGAAATGCAGCCACCTCTGGGTCCGCAGCATCAAGGCAGGGCAGGAAATGGGGGTAGACATAGCAGCAGGATGAAACCACAGGCCACGGGGCATCATGCGCCAGCTTCTCTCTGTGGGCCTGGCGTGGGAGCAGTGGTGGGTGGCAGCAAGTAGTGCATAGAAGAGCCGGCTTTCCATGGGCTGCCAGTAGCTTCGGCCGTGGCAGGGCACCGGTTGCCCCAAGCTGCATGGGCCACAGCTAGCTCCCCTGCTTCCCACTGCAGGCCCACAGGCCGGGGCGCGTGGGACCTGTTTGGCTACATGCAGTTGGCGCCGGGCTGCCAGCGGAGGGGAAGTGCAGCACTTCTTGGCAAACCCCAGCACAGCGATGGTGTGGCTATAAATAAATGTGTCCGTCCTGGCTGGGCCCCGCCTCGGCCCGAGCTTCCTCATGCTCCGAGCTCTGTGCATCCTGTGGCTGGCTTGGGCAGAAGGACTGGGACATGCCCTCTGCCCTTGGTGCCATATACTGGCCCTGTTTGCTGGGGCCTGGCTGCTAAGGGTGAGGACCATGTGCGGCGAGCTGGCTCTCAGCCCTGCCCCAGGGCTTCCTGGACCTGCCAGGTGGGCACAGCTGGCACCCTCTGTTGAAGCGATGCCCGGAGCCGGCTGGGAGGGGTGGGGTGCATGGCAGGGTGGGTGACTAAGGGGCAGGTGAAGGGTGGGGGGCACTAGCAAAGCAGCGGGCATGGGCCTGGGACCAGGTTGGTGTGGGCTGCAGGCCAGAGGTGAGGGGCACCATTGTGAGCCCCTTTTCCTGCTGCCTGTCCTGCTTCCAGAGCCCTGCCCATCCAGGTGCCCCTGGTGCTCTCTTGCACCCTTATCCAGGCAGAGCTCCCTCTTGTCCAGGCAGGCTGGGTGGGTCCCTGTGATGCACGGACCCTGCAGTGCCCGCTCCATGCCCTGGGGGAACGGGGCCAGCCCTGGGCACCTCACTCCTTGTGGCTCTCTCCACAGGGGGATGCTGAGACCATGAGGGAGTTGCTGCGCACTGAGAGACCCAGCAGCCTCTTCAGCGAGGATGAGTTCATCGAGGAACACTACGAGCCTCCGCCCTCCAAGTACGGACCTCCCTGCACACCTGCGTGCGTGCATGCGTGTGCGGGCGGGGAACGAGTGCGTGTGTGAGCATGTGTGCACGGGGGATACAAGCGTGTGTGCGCGCAGGCAGGGAATACATGTGTGTGTGAGTGTGTGTGTGTGTGCAGGTGGGGGACAAATGCATGTGTGAGCATGTGCACAAAGTGGATACAAGCATGTGTGAGCATGTGTGTGCAGGCAGGGAATGCATGTATGTGTGTATGTGTGCAGGCAGGGGATGAGTGCCTGTGTGAGCATGTGTGTGAAGTGGATACAAGCCGAAGTGGATGCAAGCATGCGTGAGTGTGTGTGTGCAGGCAGGGACAAGTGCATGTATGATCATATGTGCGACGGGGATACAAACATGTGTGAATGTGTGTGTGCAGACAGGGAATACATGTGTGAATGTGTGTGTGTGTGCAGACAGGGAATACATCTGTGGGTGTGGGTGTAGGTGTGTGCGCTCAGGAGCTAGACGTGTTTGTGTGCATGTGTGTCGATGTGTGTGGGCAGGGGATATAAGTGGGCATGTGGACACTCAGGGGCTATTTGTGTGTGTGTTCCTGTGTGTGTGGGCAGGGGATGCAAGCATGTGTGAGCGGGCGGAGAATATGTGTATGTGTGCGTGTGCACACAGTCAGGGGCTAGAAGTGTTTGCTTGCATGTGTCCACGTGTGTGGGCAGGGGGTACAAGTGTGCATGCATGTGTGCATGTTCCCGGGTGTGTGGGCAGGGGATACAAGTGTGCGTGAGTACATTCAGGGACTGTTTGTGTGTGTACGTTCCTACATGTGTGGGCAGTGCGTGCAAGTCTGTATGTGTGTGACCTGTGCCCATGTGCGCAGGCAGGGGATGCGTGTGTGTGTCTGAGTGTGCACACACATCTACCCCCCCAGCTGCCTGCTGCCCCAGGGTGGTAAGCTGAGCTGGCACAGGCCCATCCTGGCGCGGCGAGGCCTGACCGGGCCCCAGCGTCTTGCATGAGCTCGTTCCCGACACACGCCCTCCGGGCTAGGCACCACTCAGAGCAACCCTGGCTTTGCCCCGAGAGTAGGATTCGGCCCTTTCCCCACCAGCCCCAGCCCCGCTGTGGCTCTGAGCTGTGCCCATCATGGCAGCCAAGCACTGGACATCTCCTCTCTGCTGCTCTGCCCAAAGGGGAAGCGGAGAACAGCATGGCAGTGGCATCCCCAGGCGCTAGCAGCCTGATCCCAGCCTTGCCCCTGTGCCAGGGGTCTCCTGGGCACCCAGAAGCTCCCATTCACTTCCCAGTCAGCATCATTGTCTCTTGGTGACAGATGGGGAAACTGAGGCAGCTGGCTGGGGAAGCACTTGGCTCCCCCGAGTCCTTTAGGGGTTTAGTCCTGTATAAACCTGGCATGTGCTGAGCCCCCTGAGAGCCACAGCTGCTGCCCTCCGCCTGCCCGGGCTCCCATTTCATGAATGTACAGTGCCTTGCACCGCGGGAGCCCCGCCTGGCTGCCCAAACTGCTGTCAGACAAGTGAGAAATAAGCAGCATCCCTACGTGTTGCAAGGCAGTGCAGCGGGGCGCTTCACCCCAGAGGCCGCTGGTGCCCAGAGCTTCTGGCATCCTGCCTCTGGGTTTTTTAGGCTGGGTCCTTGGCAGAGGCAAGGAGGTCAATGCCAGGTGCTGCCCTTCCCGCTGTCACCTTGCCCGCTCCCTCCCCCAGATTTAGAAATGGCCTCTTGTCTCCTGGTCAAACATTACCCCAACGAGCAGGACCTCGGGCAAAGTCTGTGCCTGACAGCAGGCATTTGCATTTCTGTGAAGGACTCTGTGTGTGTGCACACAGTGCTAGCCCGTTGGGGAGGACGGGGCTGCCCTGGGCCTGGGGATGGGGGGTAAATGCAAGCTGGGGACCCATTTTGTGAGCCCGCCAGCTGGCTGACCCCGTCCGCGTCTCCCTGCAGCGGAGGCAGCTGTTGGAGTGACTACGGTCTGAGCACCCTCCAGCCCAGTCCCCGCCTGTCCTCGGGCAGCTCCATCTGGAACAGCGGCAGCATGGACAGCTCGGACCCCCTGGCCCAGCTCACGCCCATCATCAAAGCCGGCTGGCTGGACAAGAACCCTCCCCAGGGGTGAGTAGGGGTCCCCAGGGCCCAGGCGGGCCGGGCTGGGGGGCGATTCTCCCTCTGGAGCTGGGGGGGAGGTTGGCATAAGCCCCCCAACCCGTGACTCCATCCTACCCAGTGCCCTGGGGCTCTGGGCTGGCTGTGACTGGCATCTCGGCTTCCACCACTTCCTCCTCCCTGGGCTTAATTTTTGCTTTCAAAGAAGCTGCTGTTACCCAACCTAGCTGGTTTGCATATTAACTCTGCACCCCCTGCTGGGAAATAGCCTGGAGACTGTAAATCAGCTGTTCCCAGCAGTGCGGGGAAGGGAGGGCTGAGCCAGCTGCTGATTAAAGGGGCCGTTGCTTCAAAACGGCTGGATACAGAGCCGATCTTGTCTGAGCCGGCTTATTTTTTGGCCGGCTTCCTATTGCATTTCCTCAGTAGCCAGGCAGGGGGGGGATCGGTCTTTCCCCGAGGAAAGACCTGTCTGGGAATGTGTCTGTAGGAATTTCCAGGCCTGATCAGCCGGCCCTGGAGTTGGTTACATATCGGATATATTAGGAGGGAAAACCCAGCGTGGCTGATATTTGGCAGCACGTCAAGGACTCAGGGGTGCTGGGTTGGATCAGGGCCCATCTGGCCGTGGCACTTATCTTGGACACTAGCAGCTGCTTTGGAGGAAGGTGCAGCCCCCGCCAGAGAGTCCGGTCCTGGCAGAAAGGCTCAGATGGCTTGGACAGATGCTACTGGGGTCCCTGAAATTTTGACTTGAATGCTCTGAAATCCTGAGGCTCATTAGGGAGCCCAGCAGTGTGCATGAGCGTGAGTTATCCCTGCGGTGAGTGGTACCCGGACTCGATGCTTTCAAGCAGCCCAAGTCCCTCAACCCCCCCAGCTGCAAGATGAAAATGGAAACCGTCATGCAAGACAGAATGGGGAATTGCTTAAGTCCAGATACCCGCAACCCCTCCACCTCTTGTGATGGACAGACATGGCTAGGGAAGGAGACTGGTGGCAGCAGAAGTGAAAGCGCTAATTCAAAAAAGGGGAGAGTTGATGGTAAAAAATCCAAGTGAGAAGATGGGGCCTGCGGGAAGCGTATCAGGGGATCCAAAAGAGGACTCGGTGCCCAGCGAAGCTGAGGACAGCAAGAAGACTGTTTAAGGATGTGGGGGAAAAAAGGAATCGGAACAATGGCTTTATCCAAATGGTAGAAACATCGACGATATTGCAGAAAAGGCAGAACCGCTCCAGAAATGCACGGGGTTTGCATTTCGGATAAAGACAGATGGTTAAGTCCCATCCTATGACGAGGAGGAAATACTGTCCATTCCCAAGGTAGCTGAAGAGGATGTGAAACAACACCAACTGGAAGTCAGCCAGTTGTAAATCCATGGGTCCGGGTAGCAAGAGTTTCAAAAGAACCGGCTGAGGAGCCCTGGGGCTCTTTGCAGAGCTGCAGGACACAGGGGATGCTACAAACGACTCAAGAAAAACTAGTAGTGCAGTGGGGTTTAATAAGGATGAGTGGGCTGATCTGGGTTGTATTCAGAGCCTGACAGCGATCCCATGCAACATAAAGGAGCAGCTGACACCGGATGCTCCTCGTAAAGAATTGCACACGGATAGCATCATTAAAGATGGTCCTGGTGAATGGAAAACAGACCTTAGCAGCATACCGGGGTGTCTTGTTTGGATGATGGTGATAGGGCTAGAGGCAGTAACAGACTCTCAAAGGCCCTTGACCTAGTGGCGTGTGGCATTTGGGTTGAACTAGACTGATACAAATCAAAGTGGCACCGGTCAAACTGGTCCAACAACTGGATGTGAAGCAGGGAGTGTGGAGGAGCGGCCTGTCTGCTCTTGGCTCCAGGCCTTTTAATGTGCTAATCAAGAAGCTGGAAACATGCACCCCGTCCTCATGGAGAAAGCCTGCTAGTGACATGGGGCTTGGGGGAGCAGGGGGCTCCAATGGGATCTATGCAAACCAGCTGCAAGGCAGGCCACTAGCAGGGGGAAAGGAGCCCCAGGAGTGGGCAGATGCCCTGGCATTTCACCGGCTGCACGTGACCTCCCCGAGGGCCAGAAGGGCTGAGCCGTGCCCGCCGCAGACCCAGGGGGCTGTGAAATAAGAGGAAGGGGTGTACATCACCAAGGCACCTGCTCCTGAAGTGCTGCTCAGATGTCAGGGAAAGATGCGAGACCCTGCGGCAGGGATCAAAGAAAAGCCAGGACACGCAGCTGACCCAGGGCTGAGGGGCAATGTCGGTCTGGTGGCCGAGCAGTCTTCAGTCCAGCAGACACTGGCACAGCGGGGCCTGGTAGCTGGGCGCTGGCGTGGGTTCGGTCCCCGTGGCCCCTTGCTCACAGCGCAGGTTTGACCAGTGAGGGCGTTTGTGCAATGGAGTTTGTCCAGGCCTGGATGGACTCTCCATCCCCGGGGATCTTTAAAACAAGGTCCGGTGTTTGTCTGCAGGAGATGCTCCTGGAGGAAGCAGGCATGGTTTCTTCTGCCCTGGATTAGCCCGCAGATGAGCTGGGTGCTTTGGTCCCAGCTTTATGGCCAGGGTCCTTCCAGGGGGATTTATGATCCCCAGCATAGGGATCTGTTGCATCTAGGCCGTCTCCTGGCTGAGCTCTTTGTAGGAAACCACTGTTGATTGTGCCGTGTTGTGCTTGAGCCCTGCAAATGCCACGGAGCAGTGAGGCACCGGGGCGTCAGACCAGCTTGGAGCTCCAGGCCTTAAGGGCTGAGATACAGCCAGGCAGAGCCAAGCCACGAGCTGGCCGTGCTGATACGACACAGCTGGGCTAGCCACAGGGGAAGGGGCATTTCTATGGGCACGTGGTCGAGATAGGACCTCCCTTCCTGGCCTGGGATGGGGCAGGGGTGGGCAAGGGAGCTCTGCAGGTGGCACTGATGGGCAGTACATGGATTCTGGCTGAGCCAGCAGGAAGCACTGGTTAATCAAAGCAATAAAAGGGAGATAAGGGGATGGGGTGGGATGGTGGGAACATGCCTTGCCTGTCTGCCAGCCTTTCCCATGCTTGCCTGCCTCCAGGGGAACCCCCACCCTGGCTATTGGGGCTTCTGCTCTGCTCATCGCTCCTCCCATCCCTTCCCTGTGCACCCGATGCTGGTGGAAAACCAGTCCCGTTGGATCAGCTGGGCTGGGGGAGAGGGCCCTAGCATGCTAGCAGCAAGGAGCAGCGGTGCAGGGGTCTGCCTGCCTGGGCAGAAGCACGGAGATCTCCTCCATCGCCTTGTGCTGCCGAGTCTGCCCGGATCTGCTTCTGCTTCTCACCCCCTCCTCGCATCCGCTGCTGACACTGCAAGCTCTTTGGCACAGAGAGACCCAGGCACGCTGTCCTTCCTCTTCTCGGTGTGGCTGCGGGGGGCTGCTCACAAGCCTCTCTGACCCTTTTGTAGGTCCTACATCTACCAGAAGCGCTGGGTGAAGCTGGACGCCGACTACCTGCGCTATTTTGACAGCGAAAAGGTGAGGGTTTGAGGCAGCTCCAGGGGCTGGGGCACACACTGAGAGCTGGGAGACTCCAATTCAAGCCCCTTCTCTGCCACGTATGCCCCGTGTAGCCACGGGCAAGTCACTTAGTCACTCCCTGCCTCAGTTTCCCATCTACACAGTGGTTGGAGCACTCTGAGGCCAGGAGATAAGTTCTCTTGGAAGTTGCCCCTGGAAAGATGAGGTCCTCAGCATGAAGGCTGTGCCAGGCTGTCTCCGGTCCTGATCTTGCTCTGCTTTCCGTGGCGAGGACAGGAGGGGCTGAGGCCAGCAGAAAGGATGTCTCTGGGGTTGGCGGGGCTGCTCCTTGGAGCTACGGTGGACTGTGATCTCTCCAGGAGCAGCAGGGCTTGCTGGTGCTCCCCTCCCAGAAATGCCAGCCTCGAGTACCGCTGCAGGCCCGGGCTGCCATGACCTGCCTCGTTCTGTCCCCCAGGATGCCTACTCCAAGCGCCTCATCCCGGTGACCTCCATCACCCGCGTGGCCGCCATCGGAGACCAGAAGTTTGAGGTGATCACGACCAACAGGAACTTTGCCTTCCGGGCGGAGAGCGACGGTGAGCCGGGGCCCCGATCCTGGCGCAAGGGGGGAGGGAAACTGCTCCCCAGCACCCTGCTGGGGGCTGTGCCCTTCTCCTGGTAAAGGTGCCAGTTGCAGGTGGCACTGGGGGCTTGGTGCTATGGCTTGCAAGGTGGTGACTGGGTTGGGGAGCCCCATCCCTGGAGCACTCCCAGCCCACGGATCTTACTGCCAGGCTCCATACTCACTGCCATCCCCACTGTCCTGGTCCTGGCTGCTCCTGAGAGCAGATCCCTCCCACCCCCTCGCTGGGGTAATGACGGGTTTTCCCTTTCCCCGCCAACCCCATGCTCTGGGGACCCCTGGAGATGCTCCCCCTGCCCTTAGGAGGTTGCATTGACGCGAGAAGCAAGGGACCAGCCTCGACGCCCTGCTTCAGCCTGGATCCGTGGGCTCTGTACCCAGCCTCTTCTGCCCTG